AAAGAAGCACGAGGCCATTGAAACAGACATTTTCGCATACGAAGAACGTGTACAAGCAGTTGTTGCTGTTGCAGGTTCGTTGTCTAAACAATATTGTTTACTTACTTCCTTCTTTCCTCCACCTTATCTATTATATAAGCCCAAATCTGTTGATGATTTTATGATTATTGGTCAAAATTTAGGAGAACTTAGAGGCTGAGAACTTCCATGGAATTGATGAGATCAATAACAGGAAAGAAAATGTGCTCAAGCTTTGGAATTACCTATTCCAGGTTTGTTCAAGCCACTTTGCTACATTTTGATTACCTAAGGTTCTGGATTGGACGAAGTCGTATCAAGTACTTTCTTTCAGCTTCTTCTTGCTCGCCGTGTCAGACTTGAGCTGTCCATGGCGATCCAGCGCATATTCCATGATATGCTTCTTACATTGGACCTTATGGATGATATTAAGGTATGTTAATGGTTCTTTTTTTTTTCGAATAATCCCATTTGGCTGATTTGCTTACCGAAGTGTAAATACTTGGTCAAATAAAAACTTTTTGATTTTTAGGCACGTCTTCTATCTGACGACCTTGGCGCCCATCTTATGGACGTGGAGGATATGCTTCAAAAACATGCTTTACTCGAATCCGATATTAACATCATTGGAGAGCGTGTGCGCAATGCCGTTGCTCAGGCTCAGAGGTTTGATCATTTGTTCCTATTCCATTTGCCATTTAAAATGCACCTAGCAGATCTATACTTATTTTTAAAAAATCTTTTTTTCGGGACCGCAATTTTTCTTTGTTTGTCTGTTCTCTGTCTTTATTCGAAGACATTCCTTCAGATTCCGCGACCCAGAAGGTCCAGATGGCAGTGGCTACCTGCCAGTGGAGCCAGCCGTGGTTGACGAGCGTTCAGCTATCTTGCAGCAAAGGTTCATATTATGACCACCTTTTTCTTACTTTCTTTCGTTGCATCTTGCTAATTGCTCAAATTTGTGATCTCCTACAAAGGACCGTTACCGTTTTCAGATATCAAGAATTGCTTGATCTAGCTGCTCAGCGCAAGCGACGTCTCGAAAATAACCGTAGACTTTGCCAGTTCTGGTGGGATGTGGCTGATCTTGAGAACAGCATCAAGGATCAGGAACGCGTAAGTTGGAATCTTGATTTTTTTATGCAGTAGAAACAAAATTGATTGAATCGACGTCTTTGGTATTGTTTCCAGTATTTCAGTTATACTTTTAGATGATTTTTTTAGGTACTCAGCTCCACTGATACCGGCAAAGATATTGTGACGGTATCCCATCTTCTAGCAAAGCATAAAAACGCGGAGAATAATCTCAGCGAAATCGAACGCCAATTGGAACAATTGTCCAAAGATGGTGATCAATTGCTGTCGGAAAATATTCCTGGTTCGTCTAGTTTTCACTTGATTTTTAGATGATAAAGGATGCTCACTTTGAACATTCCCCTTTCAGGATCGGATAACATCCCACCTCGTTATCCAGGAAGAAAATTCCGCGACTATTGATAAACTTTCTACAAGATCTAAGGTTGCTATGCGCGAGATCGCCAGAGAGAGGGAAACGGCTGAGGCCGTCACATTACTCACACCAGCTGAATTTGTTTATATGAGTCTGAGTGGTCCCTCAGCCGTCTGGAATGTAAATTTATCTTAAAATCAAATCTGTTTTAGTTCTTCCAACCTCACCTGATGACCGCTTCGATGCGTATCTTCTTGATACTCTACGACTGGTTTCGAGCGATGACGTCGGTAAGGACGAAGGCACCGTGCAGCTGCTTCTCAGAAAGCACGACGACGTAACTGATGAGCTGAAAGGCTTCGACACGCACATCAAACAGCTCTATCAGAAGGCTGAAAGCGCTGCCACCGATGCTAAGCGCTTACCATTCGTTTTTTCACATCTTGACGTTTCTGCCTATTTGACCTACAAGGTATCACGCTTCATTCGAAAAATAGCAAACAATCCTCAAGGTATTCGACATATCGTAAGGATTATTTCCGTCCTGAAGTCACCTGTGATTGCGTGAGTTTCTTTATGTTATGAAATAAATTCCCGTTCCGGACACTCTAGTCCTGCCATGCCCAGAGAGAAGAAGTATGATGGTTAAGTGTTTTGCCATTCGTGTGTAAAGCGTGTACCATACATCAGTTGTCTTTAAACCTTGTTCTCCTTTTCACAGTCCAGTCCTACTCCTATCTCTTCATACGAAGCGCAAGACAGACCACCCCTCTAACGCGATCCTGGGTTGTTGCTTTTAATATGTTTTTTTTTTCTTTAACCGTGGTAAATTACGCGATATAGCGGGTTCAAACAATTTTTTCGAAATATTTTTATGGCTATTTGGAATGTTCAGGTCGATGAAAAGGAGAATGTGGTGATTCTTCAATACATTTCTCATATTAGCTTATTTTTTTTAGGAATTTATGACCATAGCCCACTACCACTAACATTTTCGCTTTTTGGGGAACGGTTTATCATCCTATTAATACGCTTTCCTGCGCGTGGCTTTTTTCTAATATATTATGTGATGCTTGCTTATACTATTTGCTATTGCAAGCAACTTTCATATGTACACGCTTCGAAATATTTCAGGTTTTTCGACATTTGAATCATAAGCATTGTTTTAAGTAGGAAGACCGAGTCAACTACGGTAGTAAACATAATTAGAGTTAATTGGATATCTGTGCTGAACTTAAAAGTTTTTATGCAAGTACATAATACAACATCAGAAGATCCAATTTAATATCACCTGGCATTTACTCAATCAAAAACACGTCTCAATTTTTTCCAATCTGCCACAATTCGATCCGCAATACAATTTTCCGATCCCTCACCGACTTCATCAAACAGTTATGGTCGATTTTTTTAGCCTTGCGATTCGCCAGTTCCTATGGAGAAGGCAACTGCAAATTTTCCATAACTCGTCCGTAGCTTCTTGATATTCCAAATATTTGGAATTTTAAGGCGCTTATAAACCGAGTTGGATATCTCTACAGCAGCAGTGAATTGGCCAATTTAATAGTTGATGTGCTTCGGCACTACGCATCTAGACAAGTAAGGCAAAGGTTTTGGCAGGCCTCTCCGGCTGGTACTGCTGGTTTCGAAAAGGTGGGAAGGAAAAGTCCTCGTGGGGCATGTGGCATATTTACTCCGGCTGGCGCTTTCTCTTCCCTTTTGTCTGGTATAGGTTCGGTGAGGCCGTGCATGTCGCTGATCCATTTCGGCGCCCTAGTTTTGAAATCTCCTCCCGCTCGCTTCATAACGGATGCAGTCGTATTTTCTCATCAAAGTGTGAGCAAAGAAGCGGGTCTGTTCTGCATGGGGTAAAATGACAGTGGCAATCCAAGTTGCTAGCTTATTAATAGAGTTTAACATCGATAAGACTTGTTAATAAAAGATGATCGGCTGTTTGATTGTATCCCAATGCTTCATGCTCAATCGGCATGCTTTTAGACTAGCATACATGTGCTTATGCCCTGGCTGCTTTTAGAACTGGATAATGTAGCGTTTTTAGGCACGTGAACATCCGGACATCAAAGAAAGGCTTGATGCGACAGTCAGACGCAAGGCAGAACTCGAGGATCTTGCGCAGCTCAGGAAGCAACGTCTTATCGATGCGCTTTCACTCTACAAGTTATATGCCGATGCTGATTCTGTCGAAGCCTGGATTGATGAGAAGGTATTGTTGTAGACGTTCTATCAAACAAAATAGGACTTTTCATTTGTCATTTCAGGCCAAACTGTTAGCGACTCTTGTTCCTGGAAAAGACCTTGAAGAGGTTGAGATAATGAAACATCGCTTCGACACGCTCGACCAGGATATGAAAAATCAGGAAGCTAAGGTTTGTTCGTTTTTAAAAATAAGTATTTGTTTCTGTTTTGTATTTATGTATGTGTTTCGTCCAAAGCATTTGAGTCTGAAGCGTACGAGTTCAGGTTGGAACAGTGAACGAACTTGCTCGCCAACTGTTGCATGTGCAGCATCCGAATGCGGATGACATAATGGCACGTCAAAATAAGCTCAATGCCCGTTGGGCTAAACTTCGCGATATGGTCGATCAGAAGAAAGCTGAGCTCGAACGTGCTCACCGTCTCGAGACTTTCAGGTACGCTATTTATTCTCAGGATATGAACGCATTATTATCTTTCTTATTGGCAACTGTTTGTCAATAAAATGCACATGCTTATTGGAATTTTAGGATCGACTGTCAGGAAACAGTTACATGGATTGAAGATAAAACTCGTGTACTTGAAGACTCTGACGCTCTCACCAATGATCTCAGTGGTGTAATGAAACTCCAACGAAGGTGATCTTTCGATTCTCCATGTATTTGTTCATATGTCCAAAAATCGCAAAAAAATGGTGCTGATTTGCAGGCTTTCAATGATGGAGCGAGATCTCGGGGCCATCCAAGCCAAACTAGATGCACTCCATAAGGAAGCCGACTCAATAGAACGAGAACGTCCTTCTGAGGCGCAAGCAATTCGTGAAGACATTAAACGTATCCACCATGTAGGTTTTTAGGAACCTCTCCTTTCCAAATCTTCTGTCTTCCGGAGAATTCCTCTTTCAATTTAAGGTGTGGGATATTCTCAATAAGAAAGTCCGCGAGCATGAAGCGAAGCTCGACGAGGCTGGTGACTTGCAACGATTCCTTCGTGATTTGGACCACTTCCAAGCATGGCTTACAGCTACACAGCGACAAGTGAGTGACTTCAAGTAACAGTAGTATGATTGAGCCAAATAAACTGTTTCGGGGCTATTTTTGAATTCAAGTCTATGTGAACCAAAATAGTAGCCATTTGCGACTTCCCTTCACAGGCTTTAATGTACATGCTGCAATTCAGTAGTTATGCTGCAGACTTCTGGCGCTTTTTGACTGGCTGTCCGTTGCTGGCAGTCGTCTGATAGAAAAGTATGCGTAGTACGCTGGCACGAGTAACGGTAGCGCAGTGGGCGCGTTCACGATAAAAGCGCTCATTTCTTGCGGCTTCGAGTAAGAAAGGGAATTCAGGGAATGTTCATCTGTGTGCATTTACAGATGACAAAAATTTAGTTATTTTGCGCGGGCTGGAGGGCTTGCGCAGCAATTGCAAGATTCTTGTGCTTCTTCTATTTGCGCACCTTTTCTGTAAATTTCACTCTAAGCTCGTGTTTCACTCCTCCCCGTTATCGGGCTACTCAGGCTTTATTGGGAAACATAATCAATGTACTCGCAAAAAATGTTTCTTTCTCAAATGAGCACCCATACAGGTTGCTTCGGAGGATGAGCCACAGTCGTTAGCGGAAGCTGAGCAGCTGCTCAACCAACACGCTGCCATTAGAGAAGAAATTGATGGATATGCTGAGGATTACAAGAAGATGCGCGCTATGGGAGATCGTGTCACCCAAGACCAGACTGATCCACAGTAAGTTTATGGAGCATTTGCTAGTTTAACGAGGGTCACTCTTTCATCAGTCATGCATCAGTTATTCAATGGTAGGGCTTGCTATTTCTTAGGTACATGTTCCTGCGCCAGCGACTTGTTGGCTTGCAAGAAGGTTGGGAAGAGCTCCAGCGTATGTGGGATAACCGACAACATCTTCTCAGTCAAGGACTCAACCTACAGGTCAGCCTAATATTGTTGTAACATGTAGTTTTTTTTTTCTTCGAGAAAAACGCATTTTCTCCCACGGCGGCTGGAGAAAACATCGGAAAGTAATTTTCCAGATGTTCTTGCGTGACGCCAAACAGGCTGAGGTTATGCTCTCGCAGCAGGAGAATTACCTCACCAAAGACGAAGCTCCAAGCAGCTTAGAGCAGGCCGAGAACATGCTCAAGAGGCACCAGGTTAGTGATTTTCTCCAATTTTTGGGAATGTTTGTGTTATGCTAAATTTTCTATAACATCAAACAACATAAATACAAGCTGCAACTTCAGGACTTCATGACAACTATGGACGCCAACGACGAGAAGATTCGTGCCGTCGGAATGTTTGGAGATCAGCTGTGCCAAGATGGTCATTATGCCGCCGATAAGGTAGCGTTGTTCAGCTGAAGTTTTTTTTTACAGCATTGGCACATTAATTTTCTATAAATTCATGTTTTCAGATTCATAAGAAGGCTCGTAATATCGATGAACGTCGTGAGGCGAACCGTGAACGGGCGCAGGCGTTGCTCGCGAAATTGAAGGATGCACTCGCGTTGCAACAGTTCCTTTCTGACTGTGAAGAATTGCGTGAATGGATCGAAGAGAA